AAGGCATCGAAAATTTCAGTCAAAGAGAAGAGTAAAGGAGAGTTAGGGTGATCTCTTGGACAAATCACCCCTTAGGTTGCCACGATAGGGTCAACACGCAAAGGGAGGGGCAAGGAGAAACTAGAGGTTCTCCCCGTGGACCGACCCGTGACGAGATCCTACGCCCGGGCCCATAACATTAACCTCTTTAAGTAACTAAAGGAAGTTACTATATTGATAATGTTTGCATTTAATAGAGCCAGACCTGCTAGTCCATGAAACCATCTACATTTTTTTTTTTAATATCAGTGTGAACATGACAAACGGATTTCAGAAAGGTATTTAGATGTGCAAAAACAGCCACTAGAAGGTTAACAAACAGCTTACTACGCTTGAGATGTCATACACCACAACAGCAGCAGCAGCACCACGATAATACATTGGTGTCAGGCTGTGATACCGTTCTTGTCCTGCTGTGTCCCATATATCAAATTTCACAGTGGCTTCGTTTAATGACAATACCTGCGTAAAAAAGGCTGCTCCTATAGTTGATTCCTGTAATATTGACTAATGTCAAAAGACGACCATAGAAAAAAAAAGAAAAAGAATAACTGATGAAGGAAAAAAGAAACTAAAAAAAAACCTGGTACTCAAAAAATTGGCCTTTGACGAATCTTAGTACCAAACTAGTCTTGCCAGTACCCATGTCCCCAAGAAGAACCTGTAAAAAGTACAAACATGTTGAAGTTGCTCAGAGGAACTCTGTCTATGTGCTTACTGATCATGGATGATATTGAAGTTTTGACATTGATACGTTATGTTACATGTTTAGAGTTAATCAGAATAAGCATAAAAAAGTATGGTCATGCTCCATCTTCCAGTCTCTTATATGTCCATCTTTGGCATTGGACTAAATTTACAAATTGGAAGCATTAATAAGAACAACAGAGCATTAGATTTCCGGAGAAAGAATTCTAAGTAAGCAACTGCCGCAGATTTTGTTACAATCAGAACAATTAAAATGATGAACAACAATATATTTAATTATTACTGTTTGATGTGGAGAGGTCAGAATCTTCAGAGAATTTCTTAATGATTCCCAAATAAACCAGACCTACAAAGAGTTACAGAATCTGCCCTATCACCCCAAACGACAAGGCCTATGTAACCAATTGTTATGAAGAAAGCAGAGCCAACAGTCGAAAGTGATATTGTAGTCTTGGAATAGAAACATTATTATGTCTGCTCATCGTCCATGATAACCAAAGTTCATGGAATTCTCGGCAATTCCGAACTTACATAGCAATTAAAGTCTGAATTAAATTGTTTCTCCTCCTAGATTTCACTAAAAATGCAGCAAAGTCCAAGCCACATATATCAATTTCATCTTGAGCTATGCCACAGCACATTAATGAGTTCTAAGCTGCAAACAGCTTCATCTCATAGGTCATTGTGTATTGAAGTATCATGCATATAACAACTAAAGATTGAATAAATCACAGAAATTTGGTGGGCATAGTCATGGATTATCAGGGGGAAAATAGGACTGATAAGAAGGCAAATCAAGGTTAAAGAAGGGGACAGCACCAGAAAAAGGAAAAGGAACAAAAGAGAAGACATACCCACCAATTTTGCCTGGATATGCTTGTTGCCCGTCCTCGCCATCTTAATTGATCAACAAGTGGTCGAGATCGATCTTGAACAGAGAGAGAGAGAGAGAGGTTGATGAAAACGAACCCAAAGTAGATTATCAAAAGCTGCCGAAGCTTATCTGCAAATCAAAGAATAAAATAAAATAAAAATAATCATGTCAGAGTGAGAATGGTTGTTCGTAGGTTGTGAGAGTTGAAGACTGGTAGGTGGTTGGTAACAGAAACAAGTCATGGCACCTGGTTTCAGCATCTTCCAGCTCCAGGGGCCATGTTGATGTCGCCAACACACATTCTTGATTTCAATTTTCCCGCGAAGATCGAAGCAGAAAGTTATTACTTATTACTATTGGTGGGCCCTCAACAGCCCAGTAGCCTCTTGGGGATCCACCATAACGGGGCCAGGATCTGGGCTCCTTTGTTAGTTGTAACCCACTGTCCTTGAGGCTGTGTTTGGTTGTAATGTAAATAAATTTGCATTGATGCAAAATTATGACAGTGCAAATGATTTGAATGTAAATTTTGATCTATTTTTGTTTCAAAATTTTACTTATTTTGTTTGATTGCAGTATAAATAAAGTAAATTAAGACATTAAGCAAAATAAAATTTACATTTGCACTCCCATGCCTTTGCACTAGTGCAAATAAAATTGCACTTGCAACCAAACACACGCTAAAGTATCCTAATGTAGTGTTGTCTAGTGATGGACACGTACCTACGATAGAAAATGAAAGCTTGAAATTTCATTAGGGACCTGTTTGCGAGGGTTTAGCTGAAAAGCTTGAAAAAGGCTGAAGTAGACGACCCTTCTTCATCAAACATAGCATATACAATCTGGATCTACAGCTGTACATTGGGAACGTCTCCCCATGAATAGCAACATGTAAACACAGAAGATGCTCCCAATATAAGTCATGTAGGTAGGTGTGGGCAGGAAATCCTAGCTCTAGCATATAGGCTGTTCATGTAGAACCCACCATGGATGGTTAGAAGCCACTGTACTTCAGCCCTCCCAAACAGGCACCAAGTTGATGTGAGAATTAAGTGCGAAGATAAACAAGTTAAATGAAATCCTCAAGTAAATACTTGCTTTGTTTTTTATATAAATCATAAAAATTAAATTTATTCATATAATCTTTATCCTTCATTTAAATACATAAATAACATGTGCCGTGCCCTTACACTAATACGGATAAATAAGTCAATGAAATTCACCTAGAGTTATATAGATTATTTCATCATCTGTTGAGACGTAAACATGTAATATGCTTAGAAAAAGCATTTGGTATAATTGACAAGCAATGACAAAACATGATTATTGCATATTCTCACTGTTCTAAGTTATCCCATACTTTATCAATAATGTCGAATGTACGTGGACAAGTTAACTCATTTTTTGGTGACCAAGACAACGTGACCTGAACATTGGATCACGCATATTTACCCAAAAAATACAAATTTATCACATGTACGTTTGTCGGCAACGCCAACTCACCTTCGTGCTTCGATTATTTGACATGGCTACCTTATCCTAACTAACAATTCCGAAAGATTGAACTATATTGGGGTGTCAATTGGATTGGATTTAGTCCAATTCAATGTATGGACTGTCCAATCTGTTTAAATTGGTTTTAATTAACTGAAAGTTGGTTCATCGACACTACTACTATTATCTTCTATTAATAGACCTTATATTAGTTCAACCTGATCTAATCGAATATAAACCCATTACAAATGAATCAGGTTCAATCCAATCTAATAAATACATTTTAGACTATTAAATCTGAACTGATCCAATTCAATGTTTTATTGGTTCATCCAATCCGTTCAAAGTGATTTTGATTTTGGATAGGGTCCGACCCAAAACCAATCCATTAATACATCTGTAAGCATAGCCCATTCAGTGCATTCAAAGTGTCTTATGTGATAAGAAAATATCACTTAAGCCAAAAAAGGAAAACTTTATAAAATGAGTGTAAGGCTGGCAATTTGTATATATAGTGTAGTTTGGTAGTCAATAAATGAATGAGACAAAAAAAAAAGTGGTGGAAATTTGAAATTATGAATAAGTGGAAAAATCAAGTAGATTAATATAGTTTTAATGCTATTTAACTTGGTGGGTCCAACCCAAGTTCAATCTGAGCTTTTGCAGTTGAGCCTAGGTTGAGGCCACAGATTACCAACTTGATCCCATGGAACCGTTCAACCTAGGAATCAGTCACCTATTCGGTTTTGTTTACCCCATGGTTCAAACTTCAAACCATTGGCTCAGACAGCAAATCATGACCAATGGTTGAACGCTGAATCATTCAATCGAACAATGGCTCATGAATATAATTTTTTAAGAATTAAAATATTCAAAAATTAAAACGAAAATCAGATCTGAAATTTGAGAGAGAGAGAGAGGACAAGAGAAATGAGATTGACTGAAGAAAATATGAGGAGAAGCTGAAACAAGCCACTGTATTGCCAAACATGATGAACAGACTTTAAAAGCACATGGCAACAATTGCTGCTGTGACAGTTTCTGTCACAATCACGATTGCTGTATCCAGTCACCATCACCGCCACCTATTCCTAGGGGTGTCAATTGGACCGGATTTGGTCCAATCCCACTTAATCCAATGTGAGTCATAATAAGATCAGGTTTAATTGAATTCAATGAATATTTTGGATCATTTTGGGCCAGTCCAGTTCAATGTTTGGAACGTTTTATCTGTTCAAATTTGTTTTAATTTAGATTAGTTCTAACCCAAACATGGTCCATTGCCCATCTTCTAGTGCAAAGGGCAAAAATTTCTTCCTTGAACTTGTTTTCTTGCATAACTACCTCTAGGGAGTTCCTAATGTACTGAACTTTGTAAACATTGGAACATTATAACACATTTTATTTACCTATAAAAAAAAACATGGTCCATTGACACCTATATTCTTATCTTCTATCAATAAATCAGATATTGGCTCATTCCAACCCAATCCAATATAAATTCATTACAAATGGGCCAGGTATAATCTAATACAATAAATACTTTGGATCATTAAGTTTGGACTGGTCCAATTCAATGTCTTGTTGGTCTGTCCAATCCATCCAAATTGATTTTGGTTTGGACAGGGTCCAACCCAAAACCAATCCATTGACACCCTATACTTTATATGTGTGTGTGTATATATCTTAATCTAATCGGGAAAATTCTTGTTTAGTACCCTATACTTTAGGCCTAGTGCCACTTTGGTCCCTGAACTTTAAAACGCAACAATTTAATACATCAACTTTCAAAACGTGCCAATCAAGTACCTGCTGTTAATCAGTTGTTAAGTGGTCTATCCGACTTATTTTCAATCATTAAGGAGCCCGCAATTTCCTTAATAACTTTTTCACTAAGGCTATGTTTGCATGGTTTGAAGGAAATTCCCTACCTTTTCGTTCAAGCCAAACACAACCTAAAAGACAAAGCAATAAGATTTTCAATTCAGCATCTACAGGTGTTATCAAGTGGTCCCTTAGTCAAAGTCATATAGAATTAATCTTAGGTTGGTAAGGCATGAGCCCATAGTTTGAATTTTATGGTTAGACCTAGAATGACCCTCATATAGACCCAACATATCTGAGTTGCACCCCTAGATGGTTTGGTCTTGTACATAGAAGACAATCCTTGACACATATAAAAAGTGATTTATTACAAGTTGAGGGCTTAGAAGAGTTTGGGACAAACAAAAGAGTCATGATCAGTTGGGCACACTCAGTGAACATGTTGTGTAAGTACTTAGTAAATTTTTTGACACGTGTCTCGTAGATTCTTCCACCCTTGAAATGATAAGGATGGTGAATCCAGATTTCCTTCTCACATCCACCTCATAGCATTTGATTGGGAACATCTTCCCATAAATGAAAACATACAAATACAAAGATGTTAACTGATGTGTTGCGACTACAACATGCTGTAAGATGGGTGTGAGGTAGAAATCCAAACTCAACGATGGCACCAAAATGAAATGGAATAATGTGATTGTTATAATTGATCACATATAGTTGAGATAAGGCTTAAAAAACGACAAAGACAATGATGATGATGATCTCTTCCTTCTAATGAAAAGAAATCCTGATTTGTTGTCTCAAACTCATGCCTAAGAATTGTGTAATTCATGTATTATCCTTAATAATCTAAGTTATTTAGGGGAAGCATGGCATTGGACTAATGAAGCTTAATCAATTTGGACCTCTATTTATGATCCTTTTCCAAGAATCTTCCATATAATTGTTATAGTAACAAGATTCTTGTGTTACCCAGGCACAACCTTTTACGAACCACTTCTCTTTGGTGAGAAGAGAGGCTCGGATTCCCCTAAGCTATGGTGTTAACTGCTCAAAGGAGGCTAGCGTTTCTAAGAGAAAGCTACAGAGAGTGGATAAAGTGATAACTTGTGTGTTTCCATTAATGGCAATAGAGATATATATAAAGGATCAGTTAGAGACATTTACAAGTAAGGATTGTGCAGTGATGGATGTCAGGAGAATAAAAATTTGTTATGTAATTAATTCTCCCCAATATTCTCGTGGCTGACATGGTAGGGCTCTTGGCACTTCTCAAGTGGGTCGGTTCGTATCATCCCTCCCCCCTTTGGATTTGCCTTGTCCTCAAGGCAAACTCCTGAATATTGCTCAACCATCTTCTCCTAGTGTTCCCACATGGCATCGACCTCAGGGGTGCCCTCCAAGTGAACTAGAACTTTGGTGTCAGCTTGGTTTGCCTTCTTCACCATTCTTCTATCTAATATTGCAATGGGGTGAGGGGAGAAGGTGCCATCCTGGAATAGTGGGGGCAGAGTTGGGTTGGTAACTACTCTTGACCCGACCTTCTTCTTCAACTAAGGTACATGGAAGACCGAGTGAACCTTGCACCCTACTGGTAAGTCCAGTCGATATGCCCCCGATCCAATTTTTTTGGTGACTCAAAAAGGCCCATAGAATTGAGCAGGCAACTTCTGGGATTTCCTAACAACAATAATGGCCTATCTGTAAAGTTGTAGACACAGATAGACTAGATCTTCGACTTCAAAGCTCCTTTCATAATGATGAGAATCCGCCAGTTTCTTCATACATTCCTGAGCTGCCATTAGATGCCTTTTTAACTCTTCCAGAGCCAAGTCTCTACTCTTGAGTTCTTCTGCAACTACCTCCACCTTTGTGGTGCCCGGTACATAACTCAGCAGGTTAGGAGGT